AAATGGTCAGGGTGAGGGGAGGGAAGGGAGGGAGCGAGGAGGGGGTAGAGAGTCGAGAGGGGAGCTGAAGGCACGGTCAAAGAGAAAGGTCTTGAGACCGGCCTTGAAGGAGGAAAGGGAGGAAGCGGCGAAGGCACTGGCGGATAGAGTTCCAGAGCCTTGGGGCTGAGAGGCTGAAGGCCCGGCCACCGATGGTAGGGCGATTGGGGCGGGGGACGTGGAGCAGATCGGAGCCAGAGGAACGGAGGGTACAGGCAGGTAGGTAGGGGGATAGTAGGTCGGAGGGGTAGGAGGGAGCGAGGCCGTGAATGGCCCTGTAGGTGAGGATGAGGATCTTGAAATAGATCCTCTGGGGGATGGGTAGCCAGTGGAGCCGAGCGAGGGTGAGGGCGAAGGTGAGGGTGAAGGTGGGAGTGAGGGCGAGGGTGGGAGTGATGTGTTCCCGAAGCCTGGTGCGGGACAGTACACGAGCTGCAGAGTTCTGAATGACCTGCAGCTTGTGGAGGGAGGGCCGGGAAGGCCGGCGAGGAGAGAGTTCCCATAGTCCAGCCTTGAGGTGATAAAGGCGTGGACCAGAGTTTCAGCCGCGTGAGGGGTGAGGTAGTGCCGTAGTCTGGCGATATTCCGGAGGTGATGGAAGGCGGTGCCAGTTGTGGTGCGGATATGAGGGAGAAAGGACAGCTCAGGGTCGAACAGAACCCGAGGTTCCTGATGGCTTTGAGAGGTGGAGAGTGCGGCCTTGGATGCTGATGCTGTCAGCGCCTGAGGTGCGGAGGCGCTGACGTGAGCCAATCAGGAGGGTCTCAGTTTTGCACACGTTGAGCTGAAGAAAGTTGTCTCTTGTCCAGGACTCGATGTCGGACAGACAGCTGTCAGGACATCGGGGGTCGTGGAGTTGAGGGTAGAGGAGGAAAGGTAGAGTTGGGTGTCATCCGCATACATGTGGAAGTTAACCCCATGTCTGCGGATGATGTCACCACAGGGGGAGCATATAGAGGGTGAAAAGGAGGGGACCGAGGACAGACCCCTGAGGGACACCGCACGAGACAGTGTGGGGGGTGGAGAAAAAGCCATTCGTGGAAACATAGTGAAGACGGTGGGAGAGGTACGACCTAAACCACTCAAGGACAGGGCCTTGAAGGTTGAGGTGGGAGGACAAGCGGTGGAGGAGGATAGCGTGGTCGACCGTATCGAATGCTGCCGATAGGTCGAGGAGGACGAGGAGGCAGAGGGAGCCCTGGTCACAGATGGTCAGGATGTCATTGGTGACCTTGACCAGGGCAGTTTCTGTGCTATGGGCAGCACGGAAACCCGACTGAAGGGGTTCGAATAGTGAATGGGTGGAGAGGAAAGAGCGCAGCTGGGAGGCGACAACTCGTTCCAGGACCTTGGACAGGAAGGGGAGGTTGGAGATGGGCCGGTAGCTTGATAGCTGCGACGCATCAAGGGAGGGTTTTTTCAAGGTGGGAGTGATGGTGGCAGTTTTTAAGGGAATGGGAACAGAGCCAGAGGAGAGGGACAGGTTGACGATGTCTGTGATATGTGGGGCAAGGAGGTGGAGCTGGGAGATAAGGAGTGGAGTGGGGATGGGGTCAAGGGAGCAGGTGGTGGGTTTCAGGGATAGGATGAGTTTGGTGACAGAGGGTGGGGAAACGGGTATGAAAGTGTGTAGGGGAGGATGGGTATGAGTTGGAATGTGGGAGGGAGGGGGTGGGGGGTGGGTGGATGTTGAAGGGGAAGTGACCGCGGAGCGGATTCCCTTGATTTTGGATTCAAGGAAATCCAGCATCTCCTCGCAGTGAAGGTTGGAGGAGAGTCAAGTCAAGTCAATATACAGTCAAGTCACTTTACAATATATTATGCGAGTCTCAAGTGCTTTGAGATGTTGCAAAGATGTGATATATATCAAATGCAAGAATTATTATTATAACACTGGTAAGTTTATGTAATAAGAAGTGCAGTTTGTGGAGTGCATCACATCAGCTGTAGCTTATATTGGTAACTACCCTGGGATGGACTACAGTCCATTTAATTATGCACCTGCTGATCTGCTTCATTAGATGATGGAACGAACTGCTAGTTCCTCATTAGCAGCTGTCTCCTGATTAGCAGAGTCTCTGTGCTGCAGCAGTGAGCGTTAAAGGTCAGACACTGTTAGATAAAGTTCAATTAACCAGAGCAAGAATCTCTTTCAGTAGCTGACCTTTCTCCTGTTGCTTACTGATCAGCACCTCAGACCTGGAATCAGAGTAAATTATCATTGTTGTGGTTTTACAAACTGTATACCCACTAACCCTTCTCACATCAGCCCTGTTTACGCTGATCCAACTCATTCTTACCCTGCACTGCCCTGCAAAGAGGGTGACTGTGAATATTTGGTGAAATGTAGCCTCTCTGATAAAACTTTTTTGCTGACTTTCCCAGTAAACTTTGTGCGTGGTTAAAATCTCAAATCTCAACCAGTCTGCTTGTTAGCTCCTAGATCACAAACGATGTTTGTGTGGAAAGGCAGTCATGGTTTAATGCTTGCTGCTAACCTCTCAGACACCATGATTATTACACAAACTCTGTGCTGTTGCATTTCTTCCCACTCATTAAGGACTCTTTAGTTCCCAGACCATGTGAGTAGACAACTTTATGTTGTGGCTTATTTAGCCATGTCTCTGTGCCTAAATTGCAACTGTGCTTAATTGTAACAAATCCTCGGTTAGATTGAGGGGGGAACCCTCACAGGATTGAGGTACGAACAGGAATGGTCTTCTGTCTGGACTCTTGCGTGTGGGAAAACAGATCCACTGCAGACCCAGGAACCTGTTGAATCAAAACCTGAGAGAAAGTGGAAGAGAGAGGGACAGATAGAAAGTTGTGAGTGGACACAGTATAAACCAAAGATAAGGGGATCCACTCAGCTGCCTCTGCCCTTCTGAACACTCCCTCCCCCCTCCCCCACTCACACCCCAGCCCCTATACATCCTTCCCTCCACACCTTCCTCACCCCTCTCATCACCACCATAATCCACATGAAACCAACCATCTGCTCCCTCGACCCTATCCCTACCCCTCTCTCCTTGCCTCCCAGCACCACCTCCTTGCCTCTTACCCTTAAACCTCTCCCTGTCCACTGGCATCGTTCCCACCCCTCTAAAAATAGTCGTCATCACTTCTATCCTTAAAAATCCTCCCTGGACTGATTCCTGCTTTCAACTACCACCCCATCTGCAACCTCCCTTTCCTCTCCAAGGTCCTGGAACGAGTTGTTACTTCCCAGCTTCGCTCCTTCCTCTTCCGCCACTCCCTTTACAAACCCCTCCAATCGGGTTTCCGTGCCACCCACAGCACAGAAACAGCTCTGGTCAAAGTGATAAATGATATTTTGTCCATCTGCGACCAGGCCTTCCTCTGCCTCCTCGTCCTCCTTAACCTCTCTGCTGTCTTCGATACAGTTGACCACTCTATCCTCCACCAACTCCTCTCACCTCAACCTTCATGGTTCTGTCCTTGCATGGTTTAGATTCTACCACTCACACCATCTCCACTTCATCTCCACAAACAGTTTCTCCTCTAACCCCCGCACTATCTAGTGCAGGGTTCCTCAGGGTTCTGTCCTCGGTCCCCTCCTTTTCAATATCTATATACTCCCCCTTGGTAACATCATCCACAGACATGGGGTCAATTTCCACATGTATGCGGATGACACCCAACTCCATTTCTCTGCCTCCACCCTCGACTCTGAATGTCTATAAGACATCAAGTCCTGGATGAGAGCTAACTTTCTACAGTTGAACATCAACAAGACCGAGGCTCTCCTCATTGGCTCGCGTCAGTACATCCACATCCACTGATAGCATCACCATCCATGTTGCACACTCCATCTTGCTAAGCCAGTCCAGAACCTTTTTTGACCCTTAACTACCCCATACTCCGTGCGATGACCCACTCTGCCTTCCCCCACCTCTGCAACATCGCCCGGCTCCGCCACTGTCTCACACCACAGGCTGCCGAAGCCCTCAAACATGGTCATAACATCCAGGCTAGACTACGCAAACTCCCAGCTGTTGGCATCCCCAAATCCTCCCTACACAGGCTGCAAATCATTCAGAACTCTGCAGCCTGTGTCCTCTTCCACACCACGCTGTGTGACCCTATCACCCCCATCTTTACCCAACTCCACTGGTTTCCCATTACACAGGGGATACAGTTCAGATCTTGGTCCTCACCTTCAAAGCCCTCCATGGCCTTGCTCCCCTCAACCTCTCTGACCTCCTAACCCCCCCTACCATCCTGCTCGCTCCGTCTGCTCAGCGGGCTCCGTCTGCTTCACCTCCACTGCCTCGTCCGCTCCACCATTGCCGGGCAGGCCTTCTGTCACTCTGCCCCCACCCTCTGGAACTCCATCTCCTTCAAGACCCTCCTCTTTGACCGTGCCTTCGGTCATCCTCTATCCCCCCCCCTGCTCTCCACACTTCCCAATCCCAACCCCCCGTTCGAGTCCGAAATGCTGATTGTCCAGCGTCTTGGGATGTCCTCCCACGTGTAATTTTGTTGTTGTTGTTGTATACCTTGGATATGTGGGACAGTTCCTAGGTGTGTGGGGAATAGAACAGAAGTCAAAGAAAATTTTGCTTCATTGAGGCTTATTTATTGTGAAGAATCAGATACCTGAACCTTGCTCCTTGATATTTGCTGCTGAGTTCATCCGGATCGGCACAGAATAAAAAACATTGATGTAGCAGTCCATGAGCACAGCTGATGGTCAGCCCTGGTGAGCACTTCACTAGATGATTATTGAGGAATTAGTTCGAGAAAGTCTACCAAAATAAATAAACACTTTACAGAAATAACATTCCTTTTAATCTAAACAGTTGCTTCTTATTAGTTTGATTTCTCTGGAACCCAACTCAGTAGGACAGGAAAGGCCAGCAGTGGGGCCATTTCCTGGGAGCCTGGCTGGGTGAGGAGTACTGAACCCAGATGATCTGTTTCTGTGTTTCTTTCTTCAGGAGTCTGAGACTCAAGATGACACAGCAAATGCAGAACCTGCAATTGATACACACAAAGAAAACCAGCATCCCCTCGTCACCAAATGCAGCAAAGCGCCTCTATCGCAACCTTTCAGATAAATTAAAGGGTAGTCACTCCTCCGCAGATGAAGCATTCTTGACTGGGAAGATGGACAATGATCGGCTGAGAAAGTCGTGCATGGTAATGGTTGCTGTTACTCAGTTATTTTCTTGGTTAGTTGGTAATGCATTTGCTTCTGGGTCAAAAGGTTATGAGTTCAAGCCCTACATCAGTACTTTGAGCTCATGGGTCTAGGCAGTACTGGAGGGAACCCTTCATTGCGAGAGACACTATCCTTTGAATGAGATATTAAACCAAGTCCCATCTGCCTGTTTAGATGAATGGTATCCCTCCAGTTTAATTGCTCATCCAACTAATGAGTTTGATGTGCACAAAATGGCTATCAAATTTGCCTCTAAGAATAATCAGCACACTTGATAGAAGTTCTCTATGTTCTATATTGAATGTGTTTCTTTGCTGAATGGTAGAATATCCCATGCAACAAAGCTATATTGGAGGCAGTGGAGCAGCAAGACCTGGATGCGGTGCAGGCAATGCTCAGACAACACAGCGCTCAAGATCTAGATCTGAATACACCCAACAGCGAGGGGCTGGTGCCTCTGGATATTGCCATCATGACCAATAATGTGCCGGTGGCTAGGATACTCCTGAAGGCAGGAGCAAAAGAGAGCCCCCACTGTAAGTACATTAAACATCATTTTGTGGCCACCAGTCATGAGCTGGGCCAATAGAAAAACAAACCTGCAATCTTACGACCCCACAGGTCAGCTGGGTTCAGTGGAATCTGAGAAAAACCCTTCCTCCCAGAGAAGACCACTTCCCTCCAAGAAACCCCCCCCCCCGAGAAAACACCCTCCCCTAAGAAAACACCTGCCCCCCCAAGAAAACACCCTCCCCCTCAAAACACCCTCCGCCTCCCCAAGAAACCCTCTCACCCCAAGAAAACACCCTCCCCCTGAGAACCCCCGCCCAGAGAAAATACTCTTCCCCAAGACACACCCCCGCCAAGAAAAGGAGAAAACAAATCTTGAAAAAACACCCCCCGAGAAAATACTCTCCCCCCGGGAAACAACAACAACTTGGATTTATATAGCGCCCCCCCACACTAGATGGCATTTCACCCTCCCCCCGAGAACCCCCCCACCCCGAGAAAACACTCTCCCCCTCAAAACACCCTCCATCTCTCTGAGAAAACACCATCCCTCCAAGACTTCCCCAAGAAATCTCCCTCCCCCTGAGAACCCCCTGTTCCGAAAAAATACCCTTCCCCAAGAAACCCCCCACCGAGAAAATAAAAAAAAACTCCAGAGAACACCCCGCAAGCAAAATACCCTCCCCTTCCCCCAGAGAAAACAGCTTCCCTAAGAAACCTCCCTGAGAAAACACCCCCGAGAAAATACCCACCCCCCAAAAAATACCCTCCCCCGAGAAAACACCCTCCTCCAAGTAAACACCGTCCCCCAAGAATTCCCCCAAATAAAACATCATAAAACACCCTCTCCCGAGAGAACAGTCTCCCCCCACAAGTAAACACTCTCCAAGAACTCCCCCCAAATAAAACACCCTCCCCCGAAAAAATATTCTCCCTCTGAGAAAACACCCTCCCCTGAGAACCCCCCACAAGAAAACACCCTCCCCCAAGAACACCCCCAACTGTGTGTTCATTGTGTAATCCGTATTTCTCATATTTGGATTCCTAGTTGTCAGCCTGGAGAGCCGAGCCCTGCACCTCGACAGGTTAGTGGAGGAGGCCCAGGAGCGAGGGGACGAGCTGTCTACTCAGCTGCACAATGAGGTCCTGAGTCTGGAGCGGCCAGAGACTGAAAAGCTCCTGAAAGCGTGGGAATGGAGGCACAAACTGTACCAGCGCATGAGAGCAGGATTCCAACATGCAAGTCAGTGCCACAAAGTACATGCTGCTCAGTGTGGGGACTCAACCAGTTTGTCAGTGATTATTAAATGTCCAGGTGGGGTTGGAAGAGGGAACACGAACGGTTGACTGTCACTGATGTGGTGCGGGTTGTACAACAGTAACACTGTTATCTAACCCGCCTGTTGTTTCTTCACCCAGAGCCTCCTGACACACCAACCAATGTCCAGCTCTCTGTGACCAGCAGCACCTCACTCACTGTTACCTTCGAGGAGCCTCTATGTGTTAACTCTGCTATAGTCACAAGATACAAAGGTATTTGCACCTCTGGGTGTGGCCCTGTGTTCTGATCTGTGTTGGATATTACTGGAAATTAGTAACAGACATTTCAGCTTTCCTGACCATTTTTTTCTGGTCTCCTTGTTTGTCTGGCATGTGTGCTGTATGTGAAAGGTTGTGAAACTTTGGAACAATGCATAAATATTGCAGGAAAACAACTGCAGCTATATATTTGGGAAAGCCCTGCTGGATTGCTGGGGCAATGTTGGGGGAACATTGGAGTAACATTGTGGGAATACTGCAGTAATGGCAGGGGGAAACTAGAGATTCTGTGGAAATGTTGGGGAATGCTGGTAAATGTCTTGAGAATCCTGCAAAATGTTGGAACATTAAGGGAACTCTAGCAGTGTAATTACATACTCATTTACATTATTATTTAACGTTTCTCAAAATAATTCAGATTTATCTCTCTCTTAGTGGAGTGGAGCTGCCACAAGGATTTCACACCTCTGTGTGGAGTCATCATCATGCACAACCTGAGCACTCTGAACTGCCCAATCACAGGGCTGCTGACAGTAAGTCTAATCTATGAAGTCTTCTCCTCACTCTGCCCAGTGTCTGCATTGGCAAAGACAGTCTCAGCAAAGTTCATTCCTAACCGCCAATGCTACTATGATCAGAGTCTGCAGTCTGTTGAAGCTCAATCACACAACACAATTGGAACCCACAAACCTGTCTGTCTGTGCAATGTGCGTTGATGCTGTCAGATAACTAAGTCTTTTTCGTGCCCACTAGGGCAAGGAGTATTATATCCGCGTGTCAGCGGCCAATATGAAAGGCTGGGGAGCACCGCAGGCTTCCACTCCACCATTCGCTGCTCCCTCAAGTGAGTGAATCATTATTCAGAGAATAATCTTATTCTGATCCAGTTAACTTTACTTATCAGAAATGTTGTTGGTCTAACTCTAACAGAAGGCTGTTGGGGATGTGTGTTAGGGCACAGGTTGAGTAGGTGAAAGTGGTAATGTGGTTTTGAGTGGGTAGGATTGGGTGTAAATGGGTGAGTGTGCTGCGTTCAGTAATCTCTGTTTATGCCACAGATTGGAAGGAGATGGCCAGGAAGGAGGTGAGGCAGGAAGAACACATAGAAGCTCTGGAGCAGTTATTGGATCTGGTCCGAACCGCACACCAGAATTACAGCACCAAAGGTGAGCACGAGGGCTGGGGTGGGGACCCTGCCCAAGAACCCCTCACACTTTATTCAATTTATTTAATTGTTGTCAGTTTTGTGTCAAGTATGTTATTCTTTAGTTTCAATCATTAAACATATTGCTGGCCCTATTATTATGAGAAAAATACCAGCATTTTCTAATATTCTAAATTCCAAGTATGACCAATGCAAAAGGGTGTTCGTCATGTTGCATAACAAGCACTCGCTCCAAGCACACTGTGTCTATCTCTCACTGTGTGTGTTTTGGTGTGTGTGTGTGTCTTTTTATGGCTGTGTTTGCTGGGGAATCATTATGTGCCGGACAATTTAGTACTAAACATAGTCTGTGATCGCTATCACAGAGGATACCGCACATCAGACGCTCCGTTTAAACAGAGATAAGGGTTATTTGAATTGTCGCCTGATTTTCCCTCCTCACTCAGACTCTCTCACACTCATACTCTCTGTTACACATTGTTGTTCAGACAGACTCGCACACAAACAGAGATATACCTATTCTCTACTAACACTAATTTAATTGTTTGAAATTTCTAGAAAACGCAAAGGTGCAGAATTGCAGCCGCAAACAATCTGTCTCCAGGAGCCTGAAACATCTCTTTCATTCATCCAACAAATTTGTCAAAACGTTGCGAAGGTTTTTGTCTTTTTTACAGCAGGGGAGGAATGTGGGTCTTGAGACATTGTAGGCAGACACGGCTGATGGTGCTCAGGGTTAATATTCCGGGCTATTCCTGTGCGCAATTGGCTGCCGTGTTTCACCCACAAAATATAAAGTCAATTCATTTTACAGAATATTCTGTGAAACGCTTTGAGACTTCTCAAAGACTTAATAAGGCGCTATCAAATACAAGGATTATTATTATTATGGTTTGTCCAGAAAAAGGAAACTTCACCTAATTCTTCATAGCGCTTCCTGAGGGTGAGGCAACGGTGCTAAATGTGGGAGGGTGATGATGCTGACATTGTGATAGGCCCAATTTCAGGAACCAGTGGGAGGGTGAAAGAGATAGGAATAGAATTCCTGTGCATTATATTAGCCCCAACGTTTCAGCATTTCCTCTGCATACTCCCTTCTAGTGTCACCTACATTGCAGTATGTCAGTTTGTAGGGTCTTCTCAGTGGGATTTTCTCAGGCCTTTGGGGGAGGAATGGTTCAGGACACAATGTTGTCTGCTCCAGCACCTTCAGTAACCTGGAAAATTGGCCCAGGGAGGGGGGAGTGTTGAGCTGACCCTGGATAATTCAGTGTGATTTGTAACCATGCTTCTCTTGTTCTTCCAAGAGGCATTTACATGGCAGCCGCCTTTTATTACAAGGACAGCATCTTAGTGAGCAGTGAGGAGCAGCTGCCAATTGTGGAGATTGATAGCTCCTACTCCAGCACCCTCATGCAGGATTTTCTCTGGTTTGCCAAGGTATTGAGATTAATATTCGGTTTTCTAATGTTACTCCCCCCATAATGATTCTTAATCCACAACATTAGTTTATTAAGTAACTACTTTATTCTCTGCTCCCAATAATCCTGTGCTCCAACCAGAAACCCACAATCTGGTTCCTTTCCGAGGATCATTTTATACTTTCTGCTTCTATTTCATTGGCTCTTTGTTAATTGTATTCAACTTATTAAAGGGACATCCTACAACTGCAGCTAGCTGACAGCTGCCCACTTTTACAGCTACTTATTTTCTTCATATTTCCTGGGCTTCACTGTCCGTGGAGAGCATTCTCAACAGTAATGTAGGCTGTAGCTTTGTGTCAGATGCACCTCTGTGAATCTGCGTTTAGCTGTGTTGCAGGAATGTAATGGTGCTCCATTTGTCATGGCTCCTTGAGTCACCTTGATCTACGCTCCTCAGGTTCACTGCTCTCTCTGAGGTGGGTGCAGCTCTGACCTCAAACAGAAGAACTGACTGAATCAAGAGGAGCAGAATCCATTCTTAGTTAGCGATTCCAGGACCGAGCGGGACTCACTCAATCTTCACCTCACAGCCTAGCTTGGCCACCTTGGGACTGATTATGCAGTGTGTTCAAATTTAAAGAATTTATCTTCTGTTCTAAATATTTCATCGCTAAGTTGTGTTGTTTATTGCAGCTGTCCTGCTCTTGGGAGGATGTTCAGTTGTTGCGTCAGACACTGTCCATCTCAATGTCCTCCTCGTCAGCACTGCAGGTCAGACACAAGATGCTGGTAGCAGCTGCTCAATTACAGGTCAGTGACTTCATCATAGTCTTTGTGTAACCAGGTAAGGACTGCCACAGCAGTGTCTCTGTGCCCATGCATGGTCTCTGTACCCTCAGCAACTCTTTTGTTCTTCCTTCTGCAGACATTGCTCTGCACCCAGAACCTGGGCCGGCTTCACTATGAGCCCATCAAGGACCGACATGGTAATGTTCTGCTGGTCACAGTCCGGGAATTTGGAAGTTGCTGTCCCTTCCTCAATGCAAAGTGGATCCATATCTCCAAATTACAGAACCAAAGGAAATCGCTCTCCACTCCTGAGGAGCCCACTGCTCTTGATGTATTGCTCATTACTATCCAGGTCTGACATCCAGAAGTTAATTTTTTTTGTCAACTGGGTTTGGATACTCTTAGCATGGTGATGCGGAAATCATGATGATGCAAGAGAATTCCATGCATTCCACCTACACATGCAAATCCCAGAGATGCATTGTTGGAATGGAATGCGCTCGGTCTTCCTGGAAGGAAGCATCCTGCTTACCTAATTCCAGAAAGTATTATGCATAGGTTGATAAGAGCGAAGGCTTGGAGAGCCCAGAGTATGTGTTGGGGTAACTACTGGAGTCTAACCAGCTAAAACTGTATAGCTTGTCAGTGATATTGCTGATTGGCAAGCTTTCCTGCTGCTCGTCCAGCTAAGACCACCGTTAGGGCTTTGGCTTGCAGGGTTAACAGGAGCTGAGTGGGATGATTCCCTGCCCCTCGTGGCTGGTCTGCCCTTACAGGTCCTGCTGATGGGCTGTGCTGTCATCAGCAGTGTCCTTGAATACTGTGGACCTGCCTGGCTCAGGAACCGGACTAGAGACCACCACAGAGGGCTGGCTCAATTCCGACATTCTGACAGAAGTTAATCTGCTGAGGTTAATCTGCTCAGGAGGAGTCATTCTGCTTTGAGGTGTTAATTCTGTTGTGGGTTGTGTTGCAGTTGACTACTGATCTCTGGGCTCTGCCTCTATATCTCTAAATCCAGTCCAGATATGTGAATACTCAGGTCCGTAACTCTGTCTGTCCAGGGCCTTGGGACGTCCTCCCGACATGAAAGGCGCTTTACAAATGTAATTTTGTTGTTGTTGGGTGTTGAAAGTGGGATGGATTTGATGGAATCTGAGTAGCTTCAAGTGTGCGAATGCAGAGTCCACATCTAATGCTCACTCAGAAAGCAACCAAGAGAGGTGGTATAGTGGGGGAGTTTAACCACAATAGCACTAAGTTGAATGCTTGTAATTAGCCCTGAAAACACAGCGCAGGAGATCATTCAAGCATTGTGCTCTCCTGTAGGACGTGCTGTCTTACCAGCAAGGCAGCCTGCAGCGACTCAGCCCTGGTCTGTACTTGGGCTATTTAAAACTTTCCAGCTCTGTGGATCAGATTAAAGTCCTCGTTCCTCAGAAATTTCCAAATGTTCTGTGCCACACAAAGGTGCGAGAGAATGACAATGTTTCCAGGTAAGTAATAATAATAATAATCCTTGCATTTGATATTGTGCTTTTCACGTCTTCTAGACATCTCAAAACACTTCACAGAATATACTGTAAAGTAAATTGACTGTATATTTGTGGGCGAAACGCAGTAGCCAACTGCGCACAGCAGTGTCCCACAAACAGTCGTGGATTGAAGTGACCAATTTATTATTATTCATTTCTTGAGGGATTATTATCAGGCATGTGGAGTAAGGAAACTTGCCCGAGGTTTCACCCTGGAAGCTTGCCCAAGATAGCACCGGTCATAACCAGTACCAAGCCCAGTGCTCTTTTCTCTCTAAGTCTTTTATTATATTTATTCGTACAGTGTTATCAACAATCACTGCTTCTGATATAAATGTGCCTTGCTTGCTGTCCTACCTTCCAGCATGATGGGGTGAAACTCCACAAATTGGTCATATTACTTCCTTTTCAACATGAGGAGGTCACAGTGTAATTGTACTGCTGCATTCTCAATACTTTGTTGCTTCAATTAATGCCTTTGAAGTGTTTATCGTAGAATTATACAGCACAGTATATGCTGTGTATTGTGTATTTGTTCAGTCCCTGAAGTATCGCCTCCTTGAAGGTTTCTCATTGTTCGTTAGCTGTTTTACCTGCCAATCTTTCTTTCCAGTCCCTTTTTAACTCACTGAAATTAGCCTCTTCCAGTTAAGTATCTTCATCTTTGATTGTTCCTTATCCCTTTCCATAAGTACTCTAAACTTAATCATGTTGTGATCACTGTTGTCCAGATGCTCTACTACTGAAACCTACTCCACTTGCCCCATTTCATTCCCCAGAACTAGGTCCAGCTCTGCTTCCTTCCTCGTTGGGCTGGAAACAAACTGATCCAGAAAGTTATCCTGCACACATTTCAGGAATCCTTCCCCCTCCTTGCCCTCTACACTGTTATTTCGCCAGTCTATGTTAGAATAATTAGAGTCCCCCATTATCATTACTCTATTGGTTTTGCATCTTTTTGAAATCTATCGTCAAATGAAATGAAATTCGCTCATCTATCTCCTTCCCACTATTTGGTGATCTATAGTATACACCAAACAGAGTAACAGCTTCTTTTCTGCTCCTTAACTCTAACCAAATAGATTCTGTTTGTGGGGCCTCTAATACATCGTCCCTTTCCAGGGCTGTAACTATGTCTTTAATCAATATTGACCCCGCCCCCCTCCCGTTTCCTTCCCTATGAATAAATTGTAGCCAGGAATATTCAGCTCCCATTCCTGCCCTTGTTTGAGCCAGGTTTCTGTTATTGCCATAACCCCATGTGGCAACTTGAGCCGCAGCTCACCAATCATATTTGTCATACTCTGGGCATTTACCCACATGCACTCCAAGACTGACTGAGTCTGTTCTGCATTTCTCCCCTGTCTAATCCCTCCTTTTTCTAGACTACTCCTGATTACATTGCTATTCGTCTCTCCCAGCCCTCTATGTAACTTCTTTCTCATCTCTGATGCTCCATCCTGATTCACTTCTTCCCCTCGAAATTAGTTTGAACCCTTCCCCACAGCACTAGTTAACCTTCCTGAGAGGACATTGGTCCCAACCCTGTTCAGGTGCAACCCATCCACTCTGTACAAGTCCCCCCAGCCCTAGAACTGGTCCCAATGTTTCAGGAACCTGAAGCCCTCCTTTCTGCACCATTCCTCCACCCATATATTCATGTGTTTGATCCTGCTATTTTGATACTCACCGAGGCACTGGGAGTAATCCAGAGAGCACATCTTTGAGGTTCTACTCCTTAGCTTTTTCCCTAGCTTCTGATACTCTCCCTGTTGGATCTCAGCCTTTTTTCCCTATGTCATGGATCCCAACATGGATTTTCCCCTTCCCCCTGTAGAACATCCGTTCCATGATGTCTTCAACCCTGGCTCCAGGGAGGCAACATACCATTCGAGAATCACTTTTTTGGTTGCAGATACGCCTGTCTACTCCTTTCATTATTGCATTCCCAATGACAATTGTATTGACACTCTTCCCTGTGTCCCCTTGTGCATCCATTTGCTTTTGACTCCCCTCCCCAGAGGTGTCATTACCCTGACTGGTATTCAGTACAGAGAACCAGTTTGTGAGTGCCACACACTCAGGGGATCCCCTCTTCCTTACCATGCCGGTCGGTCATCCGCTCACTCTGTGGCTGTGGGGTGACCATCTCCTGAACCGTTTGATCCATGAACTCTTCAGCTTCCCGTATGCTATGGAGTGACACCAGCCTCTCCTCAAGCTCAGAAACTCTGCACAAGTTCGAGAATCCGGAGGCACTTCCTACACACGTATTTGTCCAGGCCACAAAGCATCCTGGAGTTCTCACATAGCACACATTGTGCATGCAACAGGTCTTAGCTGCACTATTCCCAGACATGATTTATATTATTTTAATATAAATATTATATATTTTATAATTATGCACCTCTTTCCCCCCCTGCACTTAATTCCCACTCTCACCAAATTCCTGCACAGAATTCCCTGTTCTGTCCTCACTCAGATATGTCCTCGCTCTGCTTGAGAGCAGATAAATTTTTATCATCTCTATGGATATATTCACATGATACCTGGTCTAGTACTGCCTTTACACCCATCTCAATGTTATGGTGGAATGTGGCCGATCTGGGAAATAAATTGAAATAATACAGTACTTGTTTTCTTCTACTTGGATGAGTACCTACATTTCCACAGGTCACTAAGGGCTCCTAGAGCCAGGAACTTGGTACTGCAGCATTATCTCGACTTCTCTAAACTATCTTCAGGGTTAAAGCTAATAACATGGATGGAGACCTGAAATTTTCCTGGTGTATCCTCAAGACGAATTGAGCCAGAATCTCTCAAAATTAACCACAATCTTAAAGCTCTGCTCTCTCCCCCCAGGGAGGAGTGGGAATGGCTCCAGAGACTGTCAGAGTGCAAGGATGTGAATGCCACGGATCGTGTTCCTGATGCTCCGACACCGCTGGGATTGCAGCTGCAGATGGCAGTGCGCGCACTGCTGAAGCTCATCAATGTGCCTCCTCGCCAGGTATCTCACCTCACACTCACCTGTGCGTCCCGGAGCGACACGTTCCCACCTCTGCATCTGCCCACGTTGAGCAGTTCTGTTCTGTGTGAAACTACCAATAACATGGAAATCGACCATCTCTCTGATATATTCTGCAGTGGCTGTGATTCACCTCATTGCGCCCCTCACAGATACACACGTGTACAGGTGTGTGTGTGTGACTGTTATTCTGTGACTGTAGGCGGGACACATGCGCCTCTTCACTCGGGATGTGCTGGAGTTGGGCCACGACGTCTCCTTTCTGCTGCTGATGCCGTCCGCAGATGATGTTTGTAACCCTCCGGGACAGTCCCCGCCCCGCGGCCGCTCCGACACTCTCCACCTCCCACTACAGATGTTTGAACTCGGTAACGAGACCTCTCCTTCAGCGCCTGTCAGCGCGGCTCCGGGAGCAGTAATGTGTAGCGGCCGTGTGTGTCACTGAGGGCGGTGGGGGGTGGGGGATTGTGAGGTGGGGTGGGGGGTGGGTTGGTTGGGGGTGTGTGGATGGGGGGGGTGGGTGGGTGTGGGTGGGGGGGTGGGTTGGTTAGGGGGTGGGGTGTGGGTTGGTTGGGGGGGGTGTGGGTGGGGGGTGGGTTGGTTGGGGGGTGTGTGGGTGGGTGGGTGTGGGTGGTGTGGGTGGGGGGGGGGGTTGGTTGGGGGTGGGGGTGTGGGTTGGTTGGGGGGTGGGGGTGTGGGTTGGTGGGGGGTGGGTTGGTTGGGTGTGGGGTGTGGTGGGTGGGGGGGTGTGGGGTGTGTGGGTGGGGTGGTGGGTGTGGGTGGGGTTTGGTTGGGGGTGGGGTGTGTGGGTGTGGTGGGGTGGGTGGGGGTGGGGTGGGGGGGTGTGGGGTGGGGGGTGGTTGGTTGGGGGGTGGGGTGTGTGTGGGTGGGGGGGGGTGGTGGGTGGTGTGGGTGTGGGTGGGGGTGTGTGGTGGGGTGGGTGGGTGGTTGGGGGGTGGGGTGGTGGGGGTGTGGGTGGGGGGGTGTGGGGGGGGGTGTGGGTGGGGGATTCTCTCGCCACCAAACCGTAACGGCTCTGATGTAATTCCAATAAAAGCAGCGCTGGTGCCGCCAGAGCCAGAGCGTGAGGGAGACCCTCCCCCTGTCCCCGGGGAGACCCTCCCCCCGATACCCCATACCTGCCGCTCGGCGCCCCCTGCCGACCCGAGCGCGGCCCGCACCCGGCGAGGAGACGGCTTTAAGAGGGCAATTTTGGTTACCTGTGAGTACGAGAGTGTGTGAGAGCTTCAGGCAGTGCGAGTGTGTGAGGGAGTTACTGTCTGTCTGTGAGGGAGTGTGTGAGGGAGTTACTGTCTGTCTGTGAGGGAGTGTGTGAGGGAGTTACTGTCTGTCTGTGAGGGAGTGTGTGAGGGAGTTACTGTCTGTCTGTGAGGGAGTGTGTGAGGGAGTTACTGTCTGTCTGTGAGGGAGTGTGTGAGGGAGTTACTGTCTGTCTGTGAGGGAGTGTGTGAGGGAGTTACTGTCTGTCTGTGAGGGAGTGTGTGAGGGAGTTACTGTCTGTCTGTGAGGGAGTGTGTGAGGGAGTTACTGTCTGTCTGTGAGGGAGTGTGTGAGGAGTTACTGTCTGTCTGTGAGGGAGTGTGTGAGGGAGTTACTGTCTGTCTGTGAGGGAGTGTGTGAGGGAGTTACTGTCTGTCTGTGAGGGAGTGTGTGAGGGAGTTACTGTCTGTCTGTGAGGAGTGTGTGAGGGAGTTACTGTCTGTCTGTGAGGGAGTGTGTGAGGAGTTACTGTCTGTCTGTGAGGGAGTGTGTGAGGGAGTTACTGTCTGTCTGTGAGGAGTGTGTGAGGGAGTTACTGTCTGTCTGTGAGGGAGTGTGTGAGGGAGTTACTGTCTGTCTGTGAGGGAGTGTGTGAGGGAGTTACTGTCTGTCTGTGAGGGAGTGTGTGAGGGAGTTACTGTCTGTCTGTGAGGGAGTGTGTGAGGGAGTTACTGTCTGTCTGTGAGGAGTGTGTGAGGGAGTTACTGTCTGTCTGTGAGGGAGTGTGTGAGGGAGTTACTGTCTGTCTGTGAGGGAGTGTGTGAGGGAGTTACTGTCTGTCTGTGAGGGAGTGTGTGAGGGAGTTACTGTCTGTCTGTGAGGGAGTGTGTGAGGGAGTTACTGTCTGTCTGTGAGGGAGTGTGTGAGGGAGTGAGGATCACAGTGTGAATCACACATTATGTAACCACACGCGCCGCGCTCTCAGCTATTGTGATATCAGCACAAATATACGGATATTGTCGGATATCGATCACTCAAACACTAACTCCCGGGGGATGCCCAGAGATTCAGAAAGTGTCAGTGAGCAGAATTGATTATTTGAGGCGGTCACGCGCTGACCCCCAAATGATCAACGTGTACACACAGAGATGATGGGCAGAGACAGCTGTACAGTATCAGCGCCGTTACATTCCGAACGTTGCCCTTTTAAGAGTGACTGCCCCCCCCCCCCCCCCCCCGAGCAGTGGCGCTGATTGACAGCGTCAGTCTGAGCTGCTCCCGGGAGCGGGGCCTGGAACCGGGACCCCGACACTCTCCCATCTCCCACCACAAGGTTTATCAGAGGGTTGGTTGACTGTTGCGCTTTATCCCGTTACCCGGTGCTTTGGCCACAGAATAGAACTGTGTGTAACTCAGGGCTGTGTGTGAGGGGGGGTCAGGGCTGTGTGTGAGGGGGGGGTCAGGGCTGTGTGTGTGGGGGGGGTCAGGGCTGTGTGTGTGGGGGGGTCAGGGCTGTGTGTGTGTGAGGGGGGTCAGGGCTGTGTGTGAGGGGGGGGGTCAGGGCTGTGTGTGTGGGGGGGGTCAGGGCTGTGTGTGTGGGGGGGGGTCAGGGCTGTGTGTGTGGGGGGGGTCAGGCTGTGTGTGTGGGGGGTCAGGGCTGTGTGTGTGAGGGGGGGTCAGGGCTGTGTGTGTGGGGGGGTCAGGGCTGTGTGTGTGGGGGGGGTCAGGCTGTGTGTGTGGGGGGGTCAGGGCTGTGTGTGTGAGGGGGGGGTTCAGGGCTGTGTGTGTGTGTGAGGGGGGTCAGGGCTGTGTGTGTGAGGGGGGGTCAGGGCTGTGTGTGTGAGGGGGGGGGTTCAGGGCTGTGTGTGTGTGTGAGGGGGGTCAGGGCTGTGTGTGTGAGGGGGGTCAGGGCTGTGTGTGTGAGGGGGGGGGTTCAGGGCTGTGTGTGTGTGTGAGGGGGGTCAGGGCTGTGTGTGGTGGGGGTCAGGGCTGTGTGTGTGAGGGGGGGGGTCAGGGCTCTGTGTGTGTGAGGGGGGTCAGGGCTGTGTGTGTGGGGGGGGGTCAGGGCTGTGTGTGAGGGGGGGTCAGGGCTGTGTGTGTGAGGGGGGGTCAGGGCTGTGTGTGGTGGGGGGTCAGGGCTGTGTGTGTGAGGGGATGTCAGGGCTGTGTGTGTGTGGGAGGGGGTCAGGGCTGTGTGTGTGGGGGGGGTCAGGCTGTGTGTGGTGGGGGGGTCAGGGCTATGTGAGTGTGGTGGGGGGGGTCAGGGCTCTGTGTGTGTGAGGGGGGGTCAGGGCTGTGTGTGTGAGGGGGGGTCAGGGCTGTGTGTGTGAGGGGGGGTCAGGGCTGTGTGTGTGAGGGGCGGTCAGGGCTGTGTGTGGTGGGGGGAGTCAGGGCTATGTGTGTGTGGTGGGGTGGGGGGGGTCAGGGCGTGTGTGTTGGTGGGGGGGGTCAGGGCTATGTGTGTGTGGTGGTGGGGAGGGGGGGGCAGGGCTGTGTGTGTGAGGGGGGTCAGGGCTGTGTGTGTGAGGGTGGGGGGTCAGGGCTGTGTGTGTGAGGGGGGTCAGGGCTGTGTGTGTGAGGGGGGTCAGGGCTGTGTGTGTGAGGGGGGTCAGGGCTGTGTGTGTGAGGGGGGGTCAGGGCTGTGTCTGTGAGGGGGGTCAGGGCTGTATGTGAGTGGGGGTCAGGGCTGTGTGCGGTGGGGGAGGGTCAGGGCTATGTGTGTGTGTGGTGGGGGCGGGGTCAGGGCTGTGTGTGTGAGGGGGGGTCAGGGCTGTGTGTGTGTGGTGGTGGGGGAGGGGGGTCAGGGCTGTGTGTGTGGTGGTGGGGGGGTCAGGGCTGTGTGTGTGTGGTGGGGGGGGGTCAGGGCTGTGTGTGTGTGGTGGTGGGGGGGGTCAGGGCTGTGTGTTGTGTGGTGGGGGGTCAGGGCTGTGTGTGTGTGGTGGTGGAGGGGGGGGGGTCAGGGCTGTGTGTGTGGTGGTGGTGGGGGTCAGGGCTGTGTGTGTGTGGTGGGGGGTCAGGGCTGTGTGTGTGGGTGGGGGGGTCAGGGCTGTGTGTGTGGTGGTGGGGG